AAGAAAGAAAGAAAGAAAGAAAGAAAGAAAGAAAGAAAGAAAGAAAGAAAGAAAGAAAGAAAGCAGGATTCGCGCTTTTAATCTTTGTTTTCGTTTCTCTTTCATGTCATTGACTTTTCTCAAACTAATAATACAAAAATAAATAAACCATCTTTTTCTCTGAATCTGAGCTTGAAAATAATACATCCGTGACTGTACGGTCAGTATTCTTGGATCGCTTCGGTCGTTACGTACGAACTGAATTAAGATTTCGTGCAAACAAGAGCCCTGAGCAAAAAATAGTGAGAAATCAGTAATCTCAAGAAAAACCCCGGAGGCACTGAAAAAAATTGTTTTTTTGCGTGTGTATATTTATCTCATCAAAATATCATAAACACAAATGATCCAAGAAAAGATCCGTATAACGACTTGCTCTTGAGCAAGCACATACCCATACTTTACCTCCACAAAGTGTTTTCGCTTGGAAAATAATGGAAATATTTTAGATGTAGATAGACTCAGAATTGCAATATCGAACCCTTTGTATTGGTCATCTGATTATTTTCCCCCTTCGAAATCTACCGAATAATTAATCACAATAACCCTCGCGTCCGAATGACTGTCGTCTATTTTCTAAAATGTCCCATAATTTTGTAGCCTTCTTTGTTTTCAGGAAGTTTAGAAGCTAGAAATTTAATAAAGTCGGCGGGTTTGTTTTTTTAAAAATTTTTGTGAGCGAGTGAATGCGAAAAGATTTCACCATAGCGGTGATAACGGAAGTGTTATTCTTCCGTTGAGGTGCCACGATAACGAATATCAGCTACAGAGAATTAAATATTGTAAAGCGTGACGATGTTTGTTGGGTTTTTATGAATATTCAAGACAATTAGAATTTTCTTGAACATATAGGAAGAAATCAAGAACTATATATTTTTACTATGTATGGTCGATTTGAGCAATCAAGACACGAGCTTCCCTTGTTTAAACAGTGTGAGTCACCCGAGATGATAGCAGCGATATTAACCTATCAACTCGTTGTAATCAAAAGCGTCTCCGTACATCGGGTTTGTTCCCGCTAGCATCTGGTGAGCGAGCATAGATCTTTAAGGCCATAATTAAGAGTATTATAATACCTATAATGTCTTGAATATGTGGGCTTGAAGGAAACCCCAAACAGAACCACTTAGCTGAAAACATAACATAGTAGTCTTAAAAGAAAAAGTTATTAAGTTGAGATTAGAATTTCCTGTCTCGACCAATCAGATCCACTTGGATTTGGTATTGTGAAATCTTTATTCATTTTAAACAGTTTCAAACTGGCAATAACCGACAGCGAAAGCATCGCAATTAGAGATATCATGCCATCCTTCAATGAAAAGATATCCCTTTTTTTCTTCGTGGGTTTCTTTTTCATTGAAAGATATTTATTGTTTCTTGCGCTGCTCGACTAATTTTAAAATAGCCGCGGAGGTTTGCGTATTTCGTTAGAACTGGACTGGGAAAAATGCGTTTACGATTCATCAAAGCAATCCTTGATCTATAGGAGGTTGAACAGCTATGTCAAAGGACAGAATAGTAGAATATTCTTAGTATCTTGGCGGATAACAATGCAAATACTTCTGGAAAAATTGATTTATGATTCTTAAGGTCCTCGTGATACCATTATTATGAATTCAATACGTACATACACACACACACGCACATATAAATCTGGGGATGCTCGAGTCTATACTGTCGGCAGAGTGCTCGATGGACTAAGTTGCAGAGCGTAATATGTTGGTGAAGCAAGCAAGCTACTCTACTTACTTCCCGTTTTATTCACTGCATTCCATGCTCTTTACAACAAAAACGTATCGGCTATGAAAAAAGAAAAGCTCTGTTGCATACTAAAATAATTAACTGGCATTATCATGTCTTTACTAGATATAGAACTTCAAGAGGCGATGTTGCAATTTTTTATATTGAGTTTCCAAGTATAAGGAGATGTTTCTTACCTTTCTATCTGTTCAGTCCATACAAAAATAATTAAACGACATTGCCATGTCTTTACTAGACTTTCAAGTGGAGATGTTGCATTTTTTTATATTTATCAAGTATAAGGCGATATTCTTACCTTTATATCTTGCAGCTATGAAAATTGACCGTCGTTTAACTAATCTTGTAAAAACGAATGATAGCTCCTTTATAGCTTTAAGAAGACTTCCATTAGGCAAGACGACCTTAGTACCGCAATTTACTGTCTATCGGTGACTAAGTATCACGCAATAAAAACTGCGCATGCGCATAAAGGTGGAATGAATTCATTGGAAAAACTCTGCATGGCACACAATAAGATTTACTTAATTGTTATTTTGATATAAAGAACACTACTTCAAGAAATTGATATCTTTTAGTTTCTAATCACATAAGCCTTTTAACTCCCTCTATGATATATTTGCATTTCATAATCATCCTTCGTGGCGTTTTCAGGTAGTAACCATGGAGCGATGTATAGTTAAATGTGTTTTAGCAATGTAGCTCGTTAAAATATATTAAAGAAAACATGAAGTAGTTTGTTAAAAGTGGTTCTCCTGCGTTTCTGCCGTTAGGGCTGGTTGCTAGGTTACATCGTCTTTCATTTAGCTATCTGTCATTTAAAGTTTTCTTTTTCAATGTTTTGCTTTTTCTTCTTACCATAGCGTGCTGTAGTAAGTTAAATCTTTGATTATATTGTTCTCTCTAGGAATGAAGAATTAAGTTGATACATCTGTTTGGGTATTCAATGGGACTTGTTAAAATGATTGTCGAATTTGATAGTCAAATATTTTAAAATAAGTTAAAATGTAAAAGTGACAATTTTTACTCTCTCTCTCTCTTCCTTTTTCAGGTTTTTTTTCTTCATTTGTTTGTTTGCCTTCGTTTTCTTCTAATTTTGTCTCTCTCTTCGCTTCTTTGGTATGGAAAACCAAACAAGACCAAAGTATATTCTTTACTATACTCAATAAGATATTTTACATGATTTGATTTCAAATCATACTATTGTCACTAGCACCAGATTGACAAGAACAAATAAGCCCAAGACCCCTTAGAGCTACTGCAGACACAGAAATCTCAAAGACAATAAAACTTTCACCATAATAAAAAGAATGCAGAAAAAATAAACTACAACGAGTAAACAAATCGGACTCAAAACAACTGTGATAACCAACATGGGAATCAAATTTTTTGGTTGCTTTTATTTGCAGTAAACAATTAATTACGGTCGGTAATGCAATTCAGTTCAGAAATATCCATCAAGATACTAATTAGTTTTAGTGTAAAAATTAATCTCCGAAAGATGGTAAAGTGTTGTTTGTTTAAATGACAGGCCAAGCTGTCTGGTGGAAACAAAAGATACACATAACAAATAATAATAATAATAATATTGAAGTAGTAGTAGTAATAATAATAATAATAATAATAATGATAACATCTCTATCACAGAAGTACAGAAGATTGCTCTCCTTGGTGCTGCACACATCATTAGAAAAACTCTCATGATAACTATTCTTGATTTCTTTTTTCCCTTTTAATTGATTTATTTTATTTTTTATTTTAATTACGCCTCGTATTGTAAATATATTCTTGTTTTCCAAAGGCCCATGGATTGGACTCGGTAAACTAAGAATTTTGTAAGCAAAATTGAAGCAAATTGTAAATAAAGATAATAATAATAATGATAATAATAATAATAATAATAATATGATGACGATGATAGTAATTATTAAAATAAATATAATTATATCCAATAAATTTAATGTACAAAACTAAGACGAAAAAAATAATAATAAGATAAATTTGAAATTAATCTTCAAATGCACACTTTCTGTTGATAAAGATCGAAATATTTACAAAGTACACAGAGCAAAACAAAAAACAAAACAAAAACACATACAAATAAATGAAAGAGAATACTTTTATGGATCATGTTTAATAGATCTTCTAAGCTAGTAATCGTGGTGATAAATCAGTTTCGGAAAAAAGCGATCGGACATGCACGTCTTCTCATTCTAAGTGTTTTTAAAGCATAAGAAGAGTTTTTCATTTTGATTATGAGTACAGGAAGTAAAAAATATAACTGGATTCCACAGATATTAATTTGTTATTTTACTTTTTTTAATACTGCAGTTGTTTTCTTGTTTTTGTTTGTTTGTTTGTTTGTTTGTTCGTTTGTTCGTTTGTTCGTTCGTTTGTTTGATTGTTTGTCTGTTCGTTCGTTTGTTCGTTTGTTCGTTTGTTTCTACCAGTTTTGTCTGTAATCACAGAGTGGGACAATCACGATTTGTTTGTTTGTTTGTGCTTTGTGTCCCTGTTTGTTTGTTGTTGTTGCTTTTCTTTCCCGCCACTTTGCAATTCAGTTATATGACTTTCTATTTTTTGTTTTTTCATGATGCATTTTACATGTTACCATTTGTTTTTATGATTTTTTTTTTCTGTTACGAACTTATTATATAAACTGTGTTTTATCATGCTGGTAAATTTCATTTCTAATATACCAGTCTACCAATCCGGTGTCAAGGTATATCATCTCTACGAATATATATAAGTAATCCCTAAGAAGATTTCAAAAGTTAATTGTGGAAATATTTATATAAGGAAAACATTTTCCAAGCATCATTAAGTGAGACAAACAGCGGGAAAACTCGTTGGGAGCTCACACGATATCAAAAGATTAAATAAAACAGAGAAAAATAAATTAAAAGGGATGAAGTAAGCCGTGCTCTCTCGGCGTTTGACTTAGACTAGACATTCAGTTTCTTCTCTGACTTTCTCAGTTCTTTTTGGTATTCATTTCTGTTTTCGTCCTTGAAGCAATCAAACGTTCTGTTTTCTTAAATATCCTATCGAAGGAGCATTTTTGAAGACGTTTTGAATCTGTCGGAAAAAAACAAAATTGATAGATATTTAATTTCAGAGCCCGCAGTCTTCCGGTCAGCAGCAGAAACACCGAGTGTGTACAGGAAAAGTTAAAAAGTGATGAAATTGCAATTTCTAGTTAACATCGCAAATTTTCGAGAATATTTAAGCCTTTTAATCCAAGCTTTTTTATTAAAGCTTCTTAATTGCAAAGTTTAGAAAATCAAGGCACAAATCTTCATATTCCGATTTGACTAGTATGGAAACGTTTTCCTTTAATTTTATATATGCTGCCGTTATCTTGTCGTTTTCGTGGCGTGACAACGTCATCTGCATCACTGTCATCATGAAGGATTGGTAATTGATTGGCGGTTTCCATCGAGTTTTGGGTGCACGCTGGAGTTTGCTAAGCGGAAGGAAGCGTAAGAGTCGCACACGAGGCGTGGCCGATTGCGACTCTAGCTCCTTGAGTGCTTAAGCAACCGACCAACAAGTGCACCCAAAACTCGTTGAAAGCACGATAACCAATGACCAATGCATGCTTTAAATTTTAATTCGATCTTGGGCTTTCACCTAGTTGGAGCCTAGCTCTGTTGTGATTATCCCACGCTGTGATACAACAGCTAAAGCTTAATAGATTTTTTTTTGTATCATAGCAAAAACTTAAAAAAGTCACTGGCAATGGCATTTGCATTTGGCATTTGCATACGGCATTTGCATTATTAATACCATCTTCCCAAATTCACTTACTAATGTGCTTAAAGAAAGTTATCAATGAAATAAAAATTAAGATACAAAAAACGAATTGATGCACGGACTTGACGCCTCTACAGATATCGTGTGCCGTTCATCGTATTTTAATTAATGTACTAGTTGGCATCATTTCTCTTTTTAGATAAGCCTACGAGTTTTACATAATCTACTCTAGGCCGACAGTCATTGCTGCAAACTGTAACACTCTCGCGTGTCCTTGCTGTCATCGACCGACCTTAAATTGCCACCAAATCCTAACTATTGTAAATAGTGTATTTCCGTCTCTTACATTCACTTGTCTCAAACACAAAAAACGTCAAGAACATTTTGTCGTGTCTTATTTTTTAGCTGTCAATGTTAACAATGGATACTTTCATTTAAATATTTTGAGATGAAAAAAATTTTTTTTTTGATAAGTTAAATCAAAAACGTGGAATTGAATAACTAGTCTTGGATCGGCTTTATTCAGTAAGTTTTTTGTAAGCTATTATAACTGACATGACCAACCTGAAAACATACAGCTTGCAATATTATCGACTAAACACTAAACATCTTTGTTATGTATCGCTAAAAACGCACAGAATGATTTTTTCGCTAGAGCAACAGCGAGAGCGAAGAAGAGCAGAAGTAAAGTAGAATGAATATTAAAAAATATTATTAAGGAAATTGTTTTTGTACCTGTTTTGCCTCACAGATTCAGACTCTTGGATTCCAATCCATTTCGAATTCTTGCTTCTGCACGTTCCTATCAATGAAAACAGATTTTTAGTACCTAATTGGTCTATCTGCATTTTTAAATGTAGTTAGAATTAAACTTGGGAATCCTAAAATACCATGTACGTATAAGTTTTCCGCTCTCTTTTCCAGAGTTCCTGTCAAACGCCCTCGTGAAAAATAAGTACAAAAATAGGTACATCAGATACAAAATCCAACGATGTAAACAATTAAGTCTACTTAAACCCTTGAGCCAATGCTGAAGCCTTTGGATTCGAAGTCGTATGATAACTTACACAGTAAAAAAAATTTCAATAGATTCAATAGATAAGCCATGTAAAATAACGTATTGTATTCAACCAAGTGTTGTGTACCGAATAGACTCAACCTTTGACATCAACCTATCCGTAAAGAAAGCCAAGCAATTTTAAAATAAATTTCCCTCAACAACCTGACAGCGGGTAGAATTTGATATTAAACAACTCTGACCAATTAGAAATGCCCAATTTATGACTTGGACTTCCGATTGACCTGTACATGTATATTAGTGTTTTTCTATCTAGAATATTACTTGTGTCCATATGGCGAGATCAAGCTCGTTATATGTCCTCGCTACGGACTGACGCTGTCTTTGTTGGCAACGAGATAGCTAATAGCTAACCAAGATATCATTTTAGATAGTCTTGCTAATTTTCATTGAAAGGATCAGTTAAACTCTGAATTCATAAATTCTAAATTATCCATAGCACATTTTGGAGGGAGATGACACCGATATTTGTGGGAAGGCGGGTGAGGAGACTTTGCAAAACAGACAGATAGACAGACAGACAGGCAGAATTTTTACTTGAGGTATATTTGCAGTTAATTCTACATGAGCTTGGTTTAGAGAACACGTTCTTTAAATTTCACTAGCAGTAATCTCCAAGTTTCTTCAGGTGATCAACGATTTTCAAATACAAAGGAATTGGGAACCTGATATAAGGTCAGCCTGAAACCTTTACGTCCCCTAAATATCAGAACTAGACTTGATAAGTTCTAAGAGAAATAATGTATCGATATACATTAGTCAATATAGAAAATATCATTTTTCTGATGATATTTTTCAACCCATGAAGTATAAAGCTGCCGCCCACTTTCAAGTCTAATAATACCGACAGCAGAAGAAGAAAAACAACTGAGAATGAAAAATGCCCAGCTTATCTCGGTTGCTAATGAAGTGGTGAAAAGAGACACTGTCTGAAGTGGACTGATATATGTCTCGATAAACAGGTCCCTTTATTAAGATACATGATGCACGTACTGATTTGTGTTCAGATACGTTATTTCTATTCAAAACAGGAACTCTATGCCCCTAGAAAGGAATACAAACACAGGGGCGGTTTCAAGGTCGAGTAGGGTTGCAACCTAATTTTCTTGAAAAGATACTACAGTTACCCTGAGCCCACAGTTAATTCTTCGGCGGTTTCTTTCAAAACATTGTAATGGCGAAAATTCTCACTAAGAAATAACCAAATAACTCTATGAGACAGCTGAACATAGCTGCGCATGCGCAATTCTTCAGTAATTTCCCGCCAATTTCACAACTTTGCAACCGACTTCCTTCTAAAAAAATACCTGTATCCGCTTTTGATAATTAAGTATTTCCTTTAATTTTTTATTATTTTTATTTTTTATTGTTATAATAATCTACTACACGTGACGTTTGATGAAAACGTATGTTTTGATACAGAATAATAATGGTTGGAATGTAAATACTAATAAACCTTGATCTTTATAGTAATCATGGCATATTTAATTCATATCTTTAATTACTTTTCGTAGCCCCCATACGCACGTATCCGGATATTTTTGAAAAGGGCCGAATTTCTCTGCCAAAACGCGCCACTTTTTGAAAACAGATGTGTGCGGACGGGCAAAAACGTTTCCGAAAACGCTACTTTTTGATAAAACGATAAAACACTGAAGTTCGTATTCAAAAATATCCGATTGGGAAAGGTCTGTCCTCAACATATTTTTTTTTAATTTTGAGCAGTGAATGCAGTCTTATTTTAATTGTTCTCCCATTTATAATCTTTTTCGCAAAGATTTCTTTCAATTGAAGCAGTCCGAGAGTAGAAACAGAACGATGAAAGGGATATTGACAAGATCACTGTAATTTGTATGGTCTGGGGAGATAAATCAAGTCGGTATTTGGCTTGTGCGAGCAAACCAATCAGACTATCTGACCTCTTTTCAGATGTGTGTTTGAAGGAATTTCCGCAAGAAAACAGTATATCACAAAACAGAAACTATATGAGAAAGCTTATAAAGTAGTTTGAAATATTTCACAAAATAGTTTCGTGTTGCTCCTAGGAAACCAGGATATTTTTTTAATACTTTTTAGTTACATGTAGTTCTACTCCCAACCTGACTCAAATATTTTTTTCACAGAATTTCCCAAAAAAAATCTTTCTTAAGTACAAAATTAACTACATCAAACATTTAAAAATTCAAAAAGTTGTGTGGATCAGACTGAATGGATGTTGCAATTCTTTTTCTTTCTTTCTTTTTTTTTTTTTTTTTTTTTTTTTNTTTTTTTTTTTTTTTTTTTTTTTTTCCCTGTAGGATTTCCACAAGAAATCAAAGTTCAATCCCAGACATTACGAAACGTCCAATTAAGACCCGATGGATGGTCGCGCGTGTGGTCAAAATCTAGTAAACTTGAAGACACCGAATGTGGTCGAAATCTAGTAAAAAAGAGGTAGGTAAGACCAAACAGTACTTAAACTTTCCTTTGTTGGATAATCTGTCTTATTATCATAATTTATTAACATCTCAATGTTGTTAATGGCTCTAATTAAATGTGGGAAAACAATTCAAAGGGATGGATTAAGGTGGAACCGAACGTTACTTATTCCTAATTTCTTAAGCCTGCTTATCAATATTGAATAATGCCATCAATGATATTCAAGAAATTACGGCGTCAAAGTAAGCTTCTTAAATTTTTTTTATAGATTTCTTTGAGAAGAAAATCCTTACTTTTTTATCTAGCTAGTCCTTAAATTCTGAAAAACAGTCTATGCTATGATTAAGTAACTTCAAAAGGTGAAAAGTCTAATTCTATTCATAAGTTAGCCTTGCCCTGGCTTAGGATCAGCCTACAACCAAGATAAAATAAAATAAAATAAACATAACTCAAAAATGTGTGTCGAACATGCAATTCTCAATTTACTCATTTCCTGATCGATGAAGCGGCTTTAAATATATATCCCATGATTTTTACTACAAACCATCTATACCAAGTTCTTCAACAGCAATTCTGTTGTTGACGTATTCATTATCTCGCGACCTCTTCGGCTTTTCAATATAAATATTTCATCAAAAACCTGTTTAAGGCAACTCATGTACTTCATACCATCCAACTCTGCCGACTTATTCGTCAGAGCTGTGATATATGTCTTCAGTATATTCTGATGGAATTAAGCTAGAGATCCTAACATCTTTAGAAACAAAGTAATGGCAATAAATCTTTTTCGGAATGGATGCAAATTTTTGTTTAAGTGCTCGATCGCCAGATTACTTAGTTCAATCCTACGTTTTAGGTCTAACAATAGGAAGAACTGGTTGTTAAAAATGCGCTATCTTTTGAACTGATAACGACTGGCATGACGTTAAGCAAGACTACGATGTAACATGGGGTCTACACAATTACTCAGATACCTTTTAGAATCTGTTGGCAATTCAATGATGTGTTTTCACATCTTATTTGATCCCATTAAATCCATACCTTTAAAATATAGGAATTTTCATACTTATAAAATAAAGAATACTCAAATCAGCTTTTTTCAAGGATTAATTAAGTAGAGGATTGGTTTTGTGGATTCGTATGATTAGCAACAAGAAACGTCTGTAATCCTTCTGGGCACTCACAATAAAGATACATTGAATTTTTGACCGGGGACTCGTAAATCAGAAACAAGTGGTACTGCCACCATAGGAAAGAAAGGGAAACAAAGATTGAGTGATTTGAAACTCACCTGGTAAGGTTACTCCTGCTGCTTATAGTGTTTTGTTTGTGGGCCACTGATGTTTCGCGTGAATTGCTTTTGGTCATGCGCAGTAGGTTACGGCATATCGTGACATGACGTTACCGCATGTGCTTGTAGATTGACAGTCTGTTAATTAGAGCTGAATGAAGAAACATAGTTGATTAACAGAGGAATAGAATAAGTATAGTCATTTGTTCGTTTTGCCTCTGTATTTCGTTTGTTCTTTCACTTCTTTTCTATCCATTTACTTATTCGTTCATTGATTAATTCATCTTTTTCGATTTTTTTTTTTTTTTTTTTTTTTTTTTTTTTTTTTTTTTTATTTTTATTCATTTTAGTTTCCTCAGTTGATCAGAACCAAAACACAAGCCTGCATCAAATCATCTACAGATGTTTTCCTCTCATCCTTACTGTCACCTTAAACTGTTCTCAATCGCAACCGAAGACAAACAAATTTAGTGTGACTACTGATCTAGCCAAAACACATCCTCCTCAGGGCACCTCACACAGTCTACCAAGCCCTATCGATCCACAACAGACTATTCAAAAGATTTAATTAGCTAAAAGTGATGTGCATCATTAATATTACTGGCCGTGTACTCTTGCTAATCAGGTTTTTTGACATTCATTTTGTTGCCTTCACAAATCGAGGTCAATCTTGTAAGGCACTGTGACCTCTTCACATTCACATATAGATAAATTAAAGATAAAAATAGAAGGTAAATCTAAATTCAGTAAAAATCAATTTCTCATTATTTAGATTATCTTTCATCGCTTCATTTTAGAAAATTTAATTGATATCGATTGAAATCAAACATCGTTTGAACTGAGACGATTATTTTTGGAACTAGTAGAGACCTACAATTTTCAGTATTTGATTCATCTTTTTTTGTTTTGGTAATATAGAATTTATGTATTTGTTTTATTCATTTATGTATTAGCATAAGCAACATAATCTCGATGACTTTAAGCATGATTTCACAGATTTCAGTCTGTCATTTTTTAGTCTTCTTCATCCACCCATCCGTCTATGCATCCATCCGTTTATGTATCCATCCATCCGTCTATGTATCCATACGTCTATGCATCCATCCGTCTATGCATCCATCCGTCTATGTATGTATCCATCCATCCGTCTATGTATCCATCCGTCTATGTATCCATCCATCCGTCTATGTATCCATCCGTCTATGTATCCATCCATCCGTCTATGTATCCATCCATCCATTCATCCATCCATCCACCTATCCATCCACCCATCCATCCATCCATCCATCCATCCATCCATCCATCCATCCATCCATCCATCCATCCATCCATCCATCCATC